TTTTTTGTATAAAGCTCTGACTTGTGTTATGAGTCTGTGGTCTGGGAGAGAGTCTGTAACTCTCTGTCTGCAAAATACATTATATAATGACCAACGTTGGGCAATTAATTATATAGTTACTTCTTCAAAAAAAGAAACTGAGTTATGAAAACAACAAAGTTTTTTGCAGCTGTTTACCTAAAAATGCAGCCAAGGCATTTTTTAAAAATAAGCATTTCAAACTATTTACAGCACAATCAGCTGTTCTGCATCAAATCTGATGCCACACAAATTATTTGTGGCACTCCAAAAAATAATTTCTGTCCACTATGAGATAAACCAGAACAACAGCCTGATACCTGCAGGCCTGACAACAGGAGATGTATCACTCCTGTAACACCTGTAACATTCAGCAGTCGCCTCATTGTTCTGACACACACAACAAAACTACTGACTACACTACACACTAACTACACAAGATTTGCGCTAAATGTCGAAAATCTCTCACATCTCAAAACACCACCATCACTCCTAAAACTTCCCCCTTCCTAAACAACTAAGTGCGATGTTGCCACATCATTTTTTGATTGGTCGACATGGTACATTTTTCGACTAATAGGAAAGGGTGTGGGTTTTTTTGGTTTTGTTTTTGCTCACAGGCGGAGAGTGTTTTTGAACGTTTTTCTTACCGTTTTCCCGCAGTAAATATAAACAACGACAGTATTCAGGAAGAAAACCAAACATTGCAGATATTTTTATCATAACTCTGGTTTTACGTGGTCGATCAACACAATTTAAAAATTGGTATAAAGTCCACACTGTTTCCGTCAATTGTTCTGTCTGTCCTGCTCACATCTTCAATGGTTGTCCACGTTGTCATTAACGTGGCTTCACTCCACATCAGCCACAACGCTTTGCTAGCTAAAACACCGGTATCGGCACATAAGGATGAATAAGGACGTATATATGAATGTGAATCCATCATTGGCTGGACTATTGGATACGGTGGCATCGTTCTAATCCCATACGGGAGCAGCCAGTCACTTACTGACTAACACTGCAAAACAGAATTGTTAAAGAATTAATTTTAATTTCAATTCAGGTGAGTTTTTTTTTTGTGCGCAACGCAGATTTTCTGTGCGCAGAGACGTGCCAGCAGTGCGCAATTGCGCACGCGCGCAGCTTAGAGGGAACATTAGTCATGAGACACTCTCACAAACAAAATCACAGTTTAGTAACGCAGTAACGCAGCGTGCCTATGGGAAAGTAACAGTAATCAAATTACTTTTTTGCAATAGTAATCCCTTACTTTACTCATTACTTGAAAAAAGTAATAACATGGCGGGACATTTAAATCATACTCGGTTCAACATCAAGTGTGCTCTGAAAATATCGCCCATAATCACACAATCACCAGCCTCAGCTGTTGATACAAGGCAGGACGATCAGTGCTTTCATGTGTTTTCACCAGATTCTTATCATATCATCTGAATGTCCCAGCGGAAATCAAAACTCATCCAGGCAACATTTCTCCAATCTTCTGATATTTGATTTTGGTGAGCCTGTGTTATGGCTGACAGACGTCAGACGATGTAACCAGTCTGCTTTAAGGTTTGGCATGTTGTCCCCATTAACCCTACAGATTGTGTGAAAAAAATCCTATAGCAGATCAGATGTATCTGAAATTCTCAAATCAGTATATCCTGCACCGACAACCATTAAGTGACAACGAGAGCCACTTAAATCCCCTTTCTTCCTCATTTTGATCCTTAGTTTTTAATTTCTGCAGGTTTTTCACGACTTTGTGACT